TTTTTTTTTTTTTTCCTCAGAGTGTGTGACTGTTAGATGACGTACAGAAGGACCTCGTGGATGAGGCTATAGGATTTGACTCCTAGATTGTGCAGCAGAAGGGGGAAGCCTCTGACAGCACTGGCCCGCTCAGATTCACTGTTACTTTGCAGGGCCCAGCGGTAAACCGACGACCGCCAGTCACTGCACACACTCTTCGACAGCAGGGCAAGTAGAAACACACAGTGCGCTTGAGTTTGTGCAGCTACAAGAAAACGTACAAAACAACAAACATTGAAATGTACTGTAAGTGAACTGTAAAATAAATTAAACTTATTGAGGAACAACACTGAAATAAACAGTAATCCATTAACATTATGAGACACTATAAGATACTTACAGTAGACAGGAGCAAGTTTCTGGGAGAGTGCGATCAGACTTGCAGGAAAAGAGGTCATCTGATAAACCGCTTGTGAAGAATGCTCAAGCACCCATGGGATTGAGAGCAGAGCACAAATATTCCTGTAAAAACCTGTGTCACCATGACTATTAGCTGTAAACATACAACACAAATCAAATTAATTCAAATGAACTGATATCATGCCGTTAAATACATCTACGGGCTGCTCATGAGTGAAAATTCAGAAAAATTCTGCAATATCTCAACAAATCAGCAAAAATAAAGTTAAATATAATCTTTAGCAAATCTCAAAATAAATATCCATTTATGTGTATTATAAAGTTGTGGTGCCTAAATTCACCTGTGATATAAAAGTTTAGTTTTTTGTGATTTATTATTATAAGAAAAACTGTTTTATATCGGCCATTTAAGGGTTATTGGCTATAACTTGAAAATAATTATCAGCTTTTCGGTTTTGGCCAAAATTGTAATATTAGTGCATCCTGAAAAAATAACCAGGATGCATTTATATAAAATGGTCCTTTAAGCCTAACATAGATATTAATAAGGATCTTGCAAAAAAAATACACTCACTGTTAAGGTAGAGGACAGCATCAAGTATCCTGATGGTACCCTCCACCAGAGGCTCCAGCTCTTCTTCATTAGAGGTGTTTGCCATCACAGAGCGGCAGCTCTCGACTACCTGAGCCAAAACCCGAGGCTTTAACCAAATGAGCTGAGCCGCATCTGAAGCCTCTGATGTCATCTCTCCTCTGCCACTGAAGATGTATTTAAGAATGAGAACAAATAACCATGCAACACAACAAAGGTCTTTAATAAAGCCGTACCTCTGTGATCCACTTAGACAGTGCTTTGAGCAAAGTGCAGTCAGATGGAAGATGAGCGCCAGTCCCTGCACGGTGCTCACCGTGTGGTCCCTCATCTGGGTCAGTAACTCATCCAGTCGGCTCTCTACAGCTGCCCACACCTCACTTCTGCTCTTCATGTCCACCTGCCTGATTCAGGACAAGATGAATACACATGGTAAGATGCAAGACTGAAGGAATGTCTATTTGGAGAGTGGGTACGGAGAATTGCATACATTGGCTGAGTTTTTTCCCCACTCCTTAGCTGGGTTGGAAGAGAGAGGTTTGGGCGTTTGGCTGGAACCTCCTCTTCATACATACTAGGATCAGCAAGGTCAGAAACACCGGCCTGCATATCCTGCACTGCAGCAATAGCTTCTGTCTTGAGGGCAGCGTACAGGTAGCCTTCCACGCTTTGCTAGTTTTCATAAAACAGAAAATATGTTACTTTCTACAATACATCACCACTTTACAACTGAGAGCTAATGTATGGCAAGACTATCAGCAAATAACGATTTAAAGGGATAGTTCACCTAAAAATGAAAATTCTGTCATCATTTACTCACCCTCATTGCAGTCCAAACCCATAACCCAAACCCTTAAATCGTTGTTCATCATCAAAACACAAATAAGGATTTCTGTCCCTTAACTGAATTGAATTTTCTGAGAGATTTCCCTTGATTGAAAGTCCAGCTGACCAAAACTATGAAAAAGTTCATGAAGAGATTGCACAAGAAAAACTTTTGAGTCTTCTTTTGATCAACACACATACATAGAGCTCATCAAATATGGTAAACAGAAGCTCAAGCTTCCTTGCTTGACGCACAAGATCCCATTAGGTGTGTTCTCGTGCCTCAAGCAAGAACGGTTGTGTATCTGTGATTACAGAACCAAATTTTTATATTTACCAAAGTATTACGGGTTTGGAACAACATGAGGGTGAGTAATTGATTACAGAATTTTCCTTTCTGGGTGAACTATCCCTTTAAATATCAGACTTTCCACCAATATATTGTATGATTTAACACTTTGAATACAGCGCAAAGAAACATCATTAATTTTCATTTTATTGAAAAGAGCAGCTTGGACCATTTACTAGACTTAAAAGAAGAGGAAAAAACATCAGTCAGAATTGTCTTTTTTAGATAAACTTTTCCTTTAACCCTTTACCTCCTGCAGGCCCTGTGTTCCAATGGTCTTAATCAGAGATTTGCAAATGGCTGCGACTCTCTCCTTCCGGATCTGCACCGCACACTCATATCCGAGAGGAACAAACTCAAGGACAAAGCAGAAGACTTCACAAAGTGTTGCTTTCACCTCCATTACCTTCAACTGCTCTAGTGCCCCACCAACCACCAGTTTCTCAAGCCTTTCCATCAGCATATTCACATGAACTCTCTCAAACCTGCAGTGAGTGCCTTCCTCGGGCTGGAAAACACATTGGGAGAGCTTCTGGAATTCCGTGCCAAAGACACTGAGCTCTGACTCCTCAAAAGTAGGCAAGGAGTCCAGGAGATGCAAATAAGCAGAGAAAAATGGCTGTGAATGGTCTTCAGGGAAACCTCCCAGAGTCACAATGCGAGTTAAAAGCACCATGGATGCTGCCTTGAGTTTTGGGCTCCCATGAGACAGCATAAGGCAAGTACAGTCCCATATGATGGCCACTTCCCTTGGGAAGAAAAGGCCTTGCAAAATATCTGTCAGCACGGTTAATGAAGTTACTAACAACGCCTGAGCTGAGGCATATGAGGACAGATTAAGGATGGTGGGGGTCAGGTAAACGGCAGAATCTCCAGACCTGACGGAGAAACGTTCCACCACAACTGGCCACTGTGGTGATGGTCTGACCATGAGATTCATATGCACTAGATCTTGCATTAAACATATTAGCTCTGTGGAAAAAAGGCCAAAAAGGACTGAGCCCTTGGCTCTGAAAAGATGAAGCAAGGAACAGATGACTGATGAAATCTTTATGTGAAGATCTTCACATTCTGGGCAAGCAGCAATTCGCAAGAAGCGGTTGATGATCCATTTACTGAAATCTGTGAAGGGAGAATGGAGGCAGACAATCTAAGCTGGATGTATTTGAGCAGAACTTTAGTAGCTAACGTAAACCAAATGAACTTACCAGAGCAGCTGTTCTCTGAGTTTTTGAAGTGATCTGAAAGACACGCTGGGTTTACGAACATTAAAGAAGAGGATTTAATAATGTGCTGCACAAAGTCCAGCAGCATCACACACGCTGGCTCAGAACTGGTCTTCTTACATAACTCCAGAGCAACTGAAATGCGAGAAAGATAAAACGGAGTAAAAATAAACTATATAAGCATGACACTAAACATGGACTAAAAGCAGTCAAATTACACTGGAAAGAGACTCATTTAAATGAGAAGGATGAAGAGAAATTTTCAATAGATTAAAATATTCTATTAATTAGCTTTAAAGGGACAGATCAGGGAAAAAACCTCTCATTTCATCATCTTCATGTTGTTCCAAACCTTTATGACTTCCTTTAGGATGAAGAGAAATTTTCAATAGATTAAAATATTCTATTAATTAGCTTTAAAGGGACAGATCAGGGGGAAAAAACCTCTCATTTCATCATCTTCATGTTGTTCCAAACCTTTATGACTTCCTTTCTTCTGTTGATATTTTGTGAAATGTCACAGTGTTTTTTGTTCCTGTTTTGCTTACCGCCATTTTTCAAAATATCTTCTTTTGTGTTATGCAGAACATCATACAATGATAATAAGTAAATAGAATTTACATTTTTGGGTGAACTTTCTTTTTAATATAACATTGCACCCCAAATTTCATGCTACTATAAACAAAATATTTAAACATTTAAACTATGCATAATGTACTCTACCATCTAGTGTATTGTGTGTGTGTGTGTGTGTTAGCTGTTCAGTGCATAAAACTTAGATCAGCAGCCATTGTAAACAAAGGAAAACACTTATGTGACAAGAACCCAGAACTTCCAACTTAATTTATGTAATATTCAGATTGATACATGTAATATGTTTAATATAATATATATTTTTCAGCATATAATCTGTTCTAAAGTCTTTTGTGTTATGCAGAACATCATACAATGATAACAAGTAAATAGAATTTACTTTCTTTTTAATATAACATTGCACCCCAAATTTCATGCTACTATAAACAAAATATTTAAACATTTAAACTATGCATAATGTACTCTACCATCTAGTGTATTGTGTGTGTGTGTGTGTGTTAGCTGTTCAGTGCATAAAACTTAGATCAGCAGCCATTGTAAACAAAGGAAAACACTTATGTGACAAGAACCCAGAACTTCCAACTTAATTTATGTAATATTCAGATTGATACATGTAATATGTTTAATATAATATATATTTTTCAGCATATAATCTGTTCTAAAGGATTTCACGTTAGCATTTTGCTTGTACTGTGCACACAGGTGATTGTTCCGTGACTATGTAGTTTTATGTGAAGTCAACCACCACCTAACTAAATTGTATTTATTTAGCATGTTTGAAACAGCATGAGGGTCAGTTAATGATGACAGAATTTGAGATGTTCTGCTAAAAAGACGTAAAAAACACAAACATCCTCAAAAAAAACCTCAAAGATACAATGCATTGTTTCTTACCGACGTCAACATCTGTCAGTATCCTGTCAATGAACTGACACAGTATCTGGCGAGGTTTCTGCACAGCCTGCTTGTACTCAACCGAACTAGCACTGGAAAAGACGTAAGAGGCCTTATCTTTAAATGTTTATGTTGAGGACGCTTTTTACGAGAATTTAACAAGAGAACATAATCGTTCTTAGCAGCCATTGTTGTTACCTGGCTAGTTCTTGCAATGCAGGAATCATTGCTGACATCTCTAGTCCTCGCTCCATCTTTGCTTTGTAAATGAGCGTTTACTATATACAACAAAAAATTGTTTAGGCCGAGCAGACCTAATAAAACATTTAACCAAGCATTCAGACTCGCAGTCTGTTCATCCTCCGCTTCCACACGAGCATCACTTTCAAAAGTATGTTCGCACTCCGGAGCTTTGTCTACGGCAAGCGAGTCGGGTCAGTTTGTTTGCAGTCGCGAAACGAGTGACGTGAGGTCGTGGTGGCCTATCGGCGCTCTGTTGAAGCTGAAGGCTTATACAGTCTATGGGTGAAGGATAAGAACAACACAGTCCTACAGGCGCGAGTTAAAGTCAAATATGGGGATTACAAAGTTAGCGTATCTAATTCACTTTGACGCGCCAGACTCTATGCGCAACAAAGAGATCGGCGATTATTCTGGTAAGATCAATGCAGTGCTGTTAAAAAAAATGTAACAAAACAGCTAATTGGGCATCAAATTATCTATTAATCCGCACGAAAGAAGAGAAGACAGTAAGAAAAGTCACTGACAGGCGGAAAATGCATCTGGAAAATAACGTTACTCTTCAGAGTTAGATTGTTAGCATTAGTTGTCATCTAACGTTACTCAGAAGTCTTTTTGTTCTTTTTTTTATTTGCATAAAACTGCACTGATTGTCATGTATCTGCGATTTAGGGAAGATTATCGCACTGGATACATCTATTGTGGTGAATCAGTTTCGCTCTGCTCTCCCCAGCCATCTGAAGCTAAGGTCAGTATTATTGAGTCATTGAGTTTGTTAAAAAAAATACATTAAAATCAGTGTCTTTTCTGTTTTGTAAATATTATGATTTTTTAGGTATAGATGTGCTATCTTATCATATGAACGTGTGATGTTGCAGTCCTCTCACAGGCTTGTTTTACCGCACTCTTACTTTCCTGGAGCATGACATCAAGCCTGTCTTTGTGCTTGATGGCAGGCCACCCAATCAAAAGAGAGCTGTGGTGAGATGTGTACTAATACAATTATTTAGTAATTATATTCACTACTGCGCAAAAGTCTTAGGCCGCTAGTATTTTCACCAACAAAAATGGTTTTAAGTCAGTTATTTCTATCTTTTGCTGTAGTGTGTTAGTACGAAATATCAGTTTACATTTCTTTTGCCATTAATTGTAATAATCCAGTGAGATTTTTGTATGCACAAGGAGTCTGACAACAGCCAATGCTCCACACAGAGATCTGATCTCACTATCATCCAGAAATAACTGGCTTAAAACCTTTTTTTTTGTTGTTGTTGTTGTTGTTGGTGGTGGTGAAAATACTAATGGCCTAAGACTTTAGCACAGTACTGTACATATAATAATTATGTAATAATTGTGTATTTAATCATATTTCATATATTTTAATTCCTCTAGCTGGAAAAAAGAGCTCAAAGCACAGGCTGGAACAGCTCACAGAGCTCCAACACAGGTGTGTGGAGTTGTATTGTAAATATGTGGCAAAAAAAAAAACATTGTGAAATATTATTACAATTTAAAATAACCGTTTTCTATTTAATATATTTTAAAATGTAATTTATTTCTTTGAGGGTAAAGCTTAATTTTCAGCAGCCATTACTCAATCGTCAGTGTCACATGATCCTTCAGTAATCATTCTAATAAGCTCATGAAACATGACTTATTATTATCATTTGTGCTGCTTAATATTTTTGTGAAAAGTTATACTTTTTCTTAATGAATCTTATTTCCTCTAAACTTAAAAGGGTTTGTAACAGCTTTATAGGTTGTTGTTGTTGTTGTTGTTGGTGTTGGTGTTGGTGTTGGTGTTGGTGTTGGTGGTGGTGAAAATACTAATGGCCTAAGACTTTAGCACAGTACTGTACATATAATAATTATGTAATAATTGTGTATTTAATCATATTTCATATATTTTAATTCCTCTAGCTGGAAAAAAGAGCTCAAAGCACAGGCTGGAACAGCTCACAGAGCTCCAACACAGGTGTGTGGAGTTGTATTGTAAATATGTGGCAAAAAAAAAACAACATTGTGAAATATTATTACAATTTAAAATAACCGTTTTCTATTTAATATATTTTAAAATGTAATTTATTTCTTTGAGGGTAAAGCTTAATTTTCAGCAGCCATTACTCAATCGTCAGTGTCACATGATCCTTCAGTAATCATTCTAATAAGCTCATGAAACATGACTTATTATTATCATTTGTGCTGCTTAATATTTTTGTGAAAAGTTATACTTTTTCTTAATGAATCTTGAATAGAAAGTTCAAAAGAATAGCGTTTATTTGAAGTAGAAATCTTTTGCAACATTATAAATGTCTTTACTGTCTGTACTGTCATTAAAAGTAGTCTTTTCTTCCAAAATAATATTATAACTGTATCGTATTATTTCACACTGTTTCTGCTAATCATTATTTCTAGTGTGCTTGTGACTATATGACATTTATGTACATGATATTTTGCACTTTAGTGTCCAACTTTAAACAAGACTGCCTGCGTCTCTTACAGCTCATGGGTGTGCCATGCATCAAGGTATTTTAATTTAGTTAGCTTTATAAACATAAATTCTGTCTCATATTAATTTGCGAGGTTCTTGCTTGACTTGTTTTGACTTTCATCGCCGTGAATGTCAGGCTCCAGGTGAAGCAGAGGCGCTGTGTGCCCACCTGGTCAAAAGTGGCACAGTTAATGCTGTAGCCTCAGAGGACATGGACACACTGGCATTTGGAGGGACTGTTCTGCTCCGCCAGCTCAATGCAAAGAGAGACAGGTGAGAAAGTAGTCAAAATCTTCTGATTGTTCTGATTGTAGATTTTGCAGGAGAACATTGAAAAAGATATGCTTTTAAATAAAAATAATATTTGCTAAAACTTTATCTTACAAGCACAGCACACCTAAAAATAGTACATGAAAGATGCATGAAAACAAAAATAAAATAAATGAACAAATATTATTAAAATATTTATAAATTCAAAAATTTAGTCCATCTACTGTCTGGCTGAAAGGATTTGTCCTCACAAGCTCAGTTTTAATAGTGTATTATAAATTATACGTTGTCATAATATTGTTATGTAATAAAATATTTAATATGAATAATTAATATTTTATTAGTGATATTAATATTTGCTATTATGGTTGTTGTTTTTATCATTTCACCTTTTGTTGTAAGCCTTAATTGAGCTCTCTTAATCAGAATCAAATCATGAGCTTTATTCGCCAAACACACAAGAAATTTGTTGTGGTTTCCAGGAGCTCTGAGTGCATACATGCATACATATATACATAAATAACACGAGAGAAAGAAGAACATAGAACATTTAAATAAGTAAATTAAGAAAAGAAAAAATATTAATAATAAATGTAAAAAAAAAATAAAATAAAAAAATAAAGTAACTTACATTAATGATATGACGTTATAATATTTTGCAAACCAAATTATTTGTTACAAATATTATACAAAACATATTACGTAATGCTGAGTTATGTAATATTGAATATATACATTTACAACAAGGCATTAATAGTAATTTCTACACCTTTTTGGAAAGGCATGTTTCTAACATGTTAAATTGACATAGAGATAAAGGACTTCTTTATTAATGACCTTCTGTTGTGTGTATTAAAATACAGAAATATCTATCATGGTTATGTCCTTAAATAATTTCTCTCATAGTGAGGTCACAGAGTACTCCTTACCAAAGCTATTGGAAGCTCTACAGCTGACATATAAACAGGTATTTTCAATGTTTTGCCTTCTTTTCATTGTTTGCTGACCCTTGCTCTTAATTTTTGTAACAAATCTCAGCGCCTGACTGTCAATAGCTGCTAATATACATATCTAAAATATCTTGATGTAATTGGCATTACTTCTGAGTGTAGTAGTTGTAACTTTATTTTGATTTTGAGAAACGTTAGAATTGCATGGTTATTGTTAAAGGAGTCCTATTATGCTCTTTTACAAAGTCTTGATTTTGTTTTGGGGGTGTACTAGAACATGCTCTCATACTAGGTTGTTCGAAAAACGCATTATTTTTCACATAATTTACATTTTTAAAATACCTTTCTCTCCAGCCTGGCACAAACGGCTCGATTAGTTCTGGCTTTGATGAAGGTCCGCCTTCCGACAAGCGCAGTCTGCTCTGATTGGCCAGCTGACCCAGTGCATTGTGATTTCGTCTGATGCACTCACTCAACCAAGCGTTCTAACCACAACCTCGCCCCTCCCCACCCCCCAACCATTCGAATTTCTGTAGGCGGGAATTATTTTTAATGATATTCTAATGGGCCGCTTTGTGATATCACAAAGCCCGGAAACCAACGCTGTAGTTCAAACGAGCCGTTCGTTGTAGTTCTTGAAAAGGGATTTTTTTAAAAACAAAATATCTCCCTTTGGAGTGGACTTTGAGATTTGTAACTTTCTAGATCTTTTTTATGCCCAAACATATACACTACACACTAACTAAAATTCAAAAAGTGAAAAAGCATTATAGGACCCCTTTAAATTAACCCCAAAAAAAATCAAAAGAAAAAGAAGTTTTAATAATAAAAAGAGTGTTTTGATTTGCTTAATTTTCTTCCTGCGTCTCTTTTCTAGTTTGTTGACCTGTGTATCTTGCTGGGCTGTGACTACTGCGATAAGATTGGGGGTCTTGGGCCGAGTCGAGCACTGAAGCTTATTAAACAACATCATACAATAGAGGGTGTGATGGAACATGTCAACAGAAAGGTGCTTGTTCAGAAAGAAATCGTACAAACCAAAGAAATCAAGCACTGCTAAAGTTGGCAATAAACAGGAATTGTGATTGTCTTTTGTTTTCTATTGTGATGAATGTCCGAATGATGTATATCCGAATTTTCCACTTTGATTTCATTGTGACTTTAGAAGGCTCAATAAGGCAACATTCTGATAGTTTTGTCATCACTTATTCACCTTAATGTGCTTTTAAAAAACATATGATTTTCTTTCTTCTGTGGAACACAAAAATAGATGTTCAGAAGAATGTTCTGGTTGCTGTTGTTCATACATCAAAATAAAAGGCGACTTTGGCTGTCAATTCTTCCAGACACACCCAATCCCTCCAAACTGGCAGTACAAGGATGCCCGCAAGCTGTTTTTTGAAACCCCAAAAATCGACGACCC